CTTAGCTTTTTGAGAAATCCAAAAATCCTCAAGTTCTAACTATGAATATCACCTGACTAAACCCAAGTGAAATTCTGGCACTAATACCCACACAAACCCATTTTTCCTCAGCATTTTGAGAAATCCAAAAATCCTCAATTTCTAACTATGAAGATCACCTGACTAAACCCAAGTGAAATTCTGGCATTAATACCCACACAAACCCATTTTTCCTTTGCTTTTTGGGAAATCCAAAGTGATCAATACCTTGAATTCCATCTTTCTTGAATTCCATCAAGATCACCTGACTAAACCCAAGTGAAATTCTGGCACTAATACCCATACAAAACCCATTTTCCTTAGCTTTTTGGGAAATCCAAAATCCTCAGGTTCCAGCTATGAATATCACCTGACTAAACCCAGATGAAATTCTGGCATTAGTACCCACACAAACCCATTTTTCCTTAGCATTTTGAGAAATCCAAAAATCCTCAATTTCTAACTATGAAGATCACCTGACTAAACCCAAGTGAAATTCTGGCACTAATACCCATACAAACCCATTTTTCCTTAGCTTTTTTTGGGAAATCCAAAGTAACCAATATCTTGAATTCCATTTTTCTGGTGTAGCATTGCAGTTAAGGGAGAGATGCCACAGTCAGTAGCAATTTTCCCTTTTGTAATATTCAAGTGGGATATGAACTTCATGGTGAAGTCACAAATAGCACCACTTGTCTCATGGGTGTGGGTATCTCTTTATCCTCAAGCTTTGGTAATTCTGCCCCAAATGCCACCTTTTAGGATGCGTTTTTGTTAGAAATTAATTTAACTGCAGGCTTGAGTACAGTAAACTTTCACTGCAATGCTTTGGGGTAAAATACAGGCAAACCTGTATTATCCTGCAGCTGTCTCCAAGTTTTCTTATTGCTTATGTACAGTTTGGTGCAAGAAATATTTAAATGAATTTGGGAAAGAATTAGTAATGCTTCCTTTAAACAAATCCTGGTAGCATACTGCACATTTACTGCTGGCTAATAAATCTCTCCACAATCCCATAACAGTCAGCAAGACTGCTTCAAACCAACAGCAAAATGAGGGCATTTAAACAAGCATTTCATACTTTATTGCTCACATCTTGCTGTGCTTATTGGGGTGCCAGGAACAGAATGGATCCCCTTTTTCAGGAGATGCAGAGAGAATTCCTTGTTCAGGAGATGCAGAGCTGCAGAGAGAATCCCTTGTGCTGCTGGGGGTGCAGGAACAGAATGGATCCCCTTTTTCAGGAGATGCAGAGAGGATCCCTTGCTCAGGGGTGCCTGAGTGCAGCTGGGGGTGCAGGAACAGAATGGAACCCCTTTTTCAGGAGATGCAGAGTTACAGAGAGAATCCCTTGCTCAAGGGAGGCAGAGCTGCAGAGAGAATCCCTTGCTCAAGGGTGCCTGAGTGCAGCTGGGGGTGCAGGAACAGAATGGATCCCCTTTTTCAGGAGTTACAGAGAGAATCCCTTGTTCAGGGGTGCCTGAGTGCTGCTGGGGGTGCAGGAACAGAATGGAACCCCTTTCTCAGGAGATGCAGAGTTACACAGAGAATTCCTTGCTCAGGGGTGCCTGAGTGCAGCTGGGGGTGCAGGAACAGAATGGATCCCCTTTCTCAGGAGATGCAGAGCTGCAGAGAGAATCCCTTGTGCTGCTGGGGGTGCAGGAACAGAATG